CCAGGCTTTGATACGTGAAATGAAAAGGGTATATATATCTATCCCAAAAATTCATTGCAAAAGATTCAGATGTTGAATCATATATATACTACCGCTATTTATTCCTTCCTATATACGCTTTCGGCCACTCAAAAGCATCGGCCGCTGCGGCAACGGCAAGTGCACAGCAACTAATCAAATTAGCAGACACAAACCCCCGGATCTGCTTATGCACAAGATAATGAAAATTAATTCTCCCAGTAGCTTACGGGAACCAGCATATTAGCGACCGACGAAGTTCCATTCTCCGACGTCCAATTCGCTTCAACTTTGTAGTCATGAATATACAATTCCATTTCGTCCTCTTAAATACCGCAAAGTGCAACCCTAATTCTCATATCAACCAACAAATCATTTTATTTCTTACCCAACTCGATCCTTCTCATTCTCTTCTTCACCGAGTTCTCTTAACCCTTTCCCCACAGACTCTAACCATGATAAAGGGCAAAAACTACGCCATTAAGCTCTGCTGCATATCCGCTACGGTTATAGCCGTCATCACTACAATAGTTTTAGTGACGCTCGCGTTCACCGTGTTCAAGCGACACGACCCGGACCTCGTCCTCTACCCGACGGGGCTAGCCAAGCTCCAACTTGACGACTTCATCACTCAGGACACCATCACCAGCGAAATGGTGATGAGCATTCGCAACAGGAACCACGGCAGCTTCCAGTTCGAGAACACGACGAGCCACATAACCTACGACGGGGAGCTCGTTGGTTGGGTCCCGATCCTGGCCGACACCATCCCCGAGCAAGCGTCCATGAACATCACGGCATACGCGACTCTGCGGGCTAAGAAGCTGAGGGAGAACCCCAAGGCGATCAACGATATCGTTAGCGGCAGTCTGAACCTTACCGCGACGGCGACCATGCGCGGGAAGATGTCGATAATGGGGATCAAGAAGAAAGGGTCGGTCTATACGGAGTGTTACATGACCATGTACATTAGTGAGATCCCTATCCGTGGGGATTCCTGGTGCTGGACTAAGCTCGAGATATAATTGAATTATATTGCATTCGTTGGTATAGTAAAATATTTATGTGTAATTGCGCTGATTAAGATATTTGTTTTCTTTGAAGAATAAATTATCTGATAAGTTGATTGAAGGATTGTTGAGTTTAGTGTATATGGTTGGTATGAATTGTGGAATACCCACAATTGGGGCGCTTAGAGTGTAAAATCGAGAATAAACGCAAGAAGACACGAAATTTTATGTGGTATCCCTGACGATTTGTCCGACCAATCCACGGGAGAGATCAGCCTCTCCAGCTCTGATATTATTATTGACTGCGAATGGTTACAATGACCGGGAGGCCTACATGATCATTATATAGGTTTTTCTCTTTTTGCCCTACAGTTACACGGGTGGAGAAAGGAATCCTTGTCGTGCACGTAGAAGAGACACTCGACTGAGGCTGGGCTGATGTCAACGTGGGTTGCTGCTCTTCTCGGCCCAATACGCCCCCGCAAGCTGGACGGTGAAGATCACGAACGTTCAGCTTGGACAATAAGAAACGAAATCGATCTGCACCAAGACCCTTCGTAAAAAAGATTAGCCACCTGATGCTCCGAACTGACCTTAAGAGGAACGATGTCACCAGAAACCACACGTTCACGAACAAAGTAGCAGTCCATCTCAACATGCTTAGTGTGCTCGTGAAAAACAGGATTAGCCGCAATATGAAGTGCAACTTGATTATCACAGTAAAGACGAGTAGGGCGAGTCTGAGGAACACCAACTCATGCAGTAACCAACGAAGACATATCAGTTCACTAACCGTGCTACGGTGCTAGCCATGGCACGGTATTCAGCCTCTGCCGAAGAACGAGCAACCACCTTTTGATGTTTAGTACGCGAAGAAATCGGGGCCGAGCCAAGAGAGATATAGAAACCTTTAGTAGATCGAAGGGCTGACTGTTAACCACCCCAGTCTGCATCACAATGCGCCACCAACTCAAGGGAGTTGTTAGTAGGGAAGTAAAGACCTTGACCCAGAAAAGTCTTGAGATATCTCAAAATACGCATAACAGCATCCATGTGTGCCTGCGTAGGAGCATGAACAAAACGACTTACAATGTTAACACCGTAAGCAATATCGCGGCGCGATACTGTGAGATAAATAAGTCCACCAACAAGGTTACGATAAGAAAACCCATCCACAAGAGAGTTTGACGATGGTTTAGTGAGCTGATGATTCTGCTCCATCGGGAAAGTACTCGGACGAGACCCAAGTACCCCAACCTCGGCAAGAATGTCCATGACATAATTCCGCTGGCTGATGACGAGTCTTTGAGGAGCACGAGCAACCTCAAGACCCAAGAAGTAACGAAGAACCCCAAGATCTTTGATGTTGAACTTCTGATCCAAAAACATCTTCACATGATTGATGAAATCCATGTCGTTACCAGCCAAAATAACGTCATCGATGTAAATAAGAGCTGCAACAAAAGTAGAACCATTCTTATAAATGAAAAGTGAATGATCAGCAGGTGAGGCACGAAATCTGAGATCACCTAGCGAAATAGTGAACTTTTGATACCAGTTCCGGGACGCTGTCGCAATCCATAGATAGATTTTTGCAACCGACAGACACGAGAATCTTCTTCAACACCAAAACCAGGAGGAACTTTCATGTAAACTTCTTCAGACAAGTCCCAATGAAGAAACGGATTATTGAGTCAAGTTGGTGTAAATACCATCCCTGACTGACTGCTACAGCCAACAAACAACGAATCGTGACTAATTTTGCGACCAGTGCAAAAGAGTCTTGAAAATCCACACCCTTGATCTGGGTATAACCCTTGGAAACTAGACGAGCCTTGTATCTTTCAACCGAGCCATCAGGATAATATTTAACCTTAAACACCCACTTCGAATCAATACAACGATTACCTAGACGGAGGTGCTCTAAATGCCCCGTTCCATTGACCATGAGTGTTACAATTTCCTTAGCCATGGCCTCCCGCTAGGGGGCATGACGAATAGCCTCTTGAAAAGTGAACGGTTCTGGAATCCGATCAACAAAAGCCAGAATGGCTTGATAAGCCCGGGTGACGCGCTCATAGGAAACAAGATGTGAAAGAAGATACCGAACATGAGACTCCGAAGTGAGGTCAGTCTCATAGACATCAAGATGTTTGGGAGGGTGACCCTCCCTAAGACTGCGCCGCATTACAGGCTCGGTAGGTGGTGTTGGTGCTGTAACGAGTGTGGGCTGTTGCCAGGCGATGACAAAGATGATGATCGGGACTAGGAAGTCGTGGAGCTGGTTCCAGATGGAAGGTCGCCACTTTCCGCAGGTATGGGGTTCATAGGAGTTGTACATGTCTCCTGTGTAGACTGCGAGTTAAGTGGTGTATGGGAATCACTCGGCGGATTGTCATGATCATTACAAAGCTCCATGGCCATAGATGAAGGTAGCCAATGGAAGTCTCGGGGATCCTACGCATGAAAAGGGAAATAATCCTCATGAAATACAACATCGCGTGAGACAAGAATCTTATGTGCCTGTAAGTCATAGAAGCGATATCCCTTTTGTGTAGCCGCATAACCCAAAAACGTACATGCACGCCCCCGTTCAGCAAATTTTTGAAGTCCCCCATGAGTGTCCTTGGGGTATAGCAGACATCCAAAGACTCAAAGATGCGAGTAAGCTGCTGGTTTGCCAAAGAGAATCTCGTATTGGGTTTATCCTGTAGCTGACGTAGGAATGAGATTAATTAAGTAGACTGTTGTACGAAGACATTCTCCCCAAAAGCGAATTGGTAGTCCCGCACGAAAGAGAAGGGTGCGGGCTATTTCTAAAATGTGGTGAAGCTTTCGTTCAACTACCCCATTTTGTTATGGTTTATCGGTGCAGCTGGTTTGCAGTATAATGCCAGAATGCTCATAATATTTATGGAGTGACACAGTTGGGAACTCTAGCCCATTATCAGCTTGTATACGTCGGACGTTCAGATTAAACTGAGTGCGAACCATTTCACAGAACATAGTTATATAGCGAGCAACCTCCGACTTGAATTTCAGAAGATATACCCAAACAGTGCGACTAAAATCATCCACTATTGTCAAGAAATAATGAGTCCCACTGGTGGAAGCTGTCTGATATCCACCCCATATGTCTCCATGAATCAACTCAAAACAACAAGATGTTTTAATCGAACTAAGCGGGAAAGGAGTTCTACTCTGCTTAGCACGGAAACAGGAATGACATGGTACTTTGTTCTTGGTTGCCGAATAAGAAACAACAAAACTCAATTGAGACAACTTTCCTAAAGATAAATTTCCTAGACGTGAGTGCCAGACCTCCATAGAAAACCTATGGCGTCCATCTGCAGCAAGTGCTAACCGATCCTCATCACTGAACATCTTCAAGAAATAAAGTCCATCACGGAGAATCCCCTTCCCAATCACGCTCTTCGATTGTAAGTCCTGAAGAATGCACATATCACAGAGGAAAATAATCGCAACATTGTTATCTTTGGTTAGCCTGCTGACTGATAATAAATTACATTTGAAGTCAGAAACGTGAACCACTCGTTCTAGCTTGATCTCAGAATTCATATTAATGAAACCAATACTTTTCACAGGTTGGCTTTTATCTGTAGAGGTTCTCGTACTAAACATGATTCATCCTTAGTGATGTGTTCATTGCAGTCAGAATCAATTAACAATCACGACTATCAAGAAATGTACCTGCCATGTGTGCCACTAGGTCGTCCATGAATTTAGACGAGCCAAAGAATTTTCGCATTTGCTTTAGCTGCGTCATAGTGAAGCCTGAAACTGTGCTGACTTCTGTTTCGGCTGCTGCCGCCTTGGGAGGTCGTTCTTCATGAGGATGACGCTTGTGTTCAACCCTGTCCATTTTATCACTACCATTGCGAACCGGACAACCTATTATCTCATAGCAGGTTGCCTAGAAATGAATCGGTTTCCCACAATGCGAACATAGAGGTTTACCATCACTAGTTATTGGTCCAGACGGTCGATCAGCTCGATCGCTCCTGTCCGAACGATCTCCACGCTCACTGGAATTCTTGGCTGCGAAGGCAGCTGCCTCAGGTGAGGGACGACGCTTTTGAGTGAGGATTCGTTGTTGTTCATCCATGGACACAATGTCGTAAGCCTCAATCAAACTTGGTGATGGTTTCATAGTTAATATTTGACTTCGAACTATCCCAAAACTTTCATCCAAGCCCATAAGAAAGTCAGGGAGACGTGAGGTTTCAGCCTTGGATCAAATTCTGCGCTCCAAGTCACATATATAATTTCATATGCACTTTTCCGGAGGGGACATCGACTTCACTTCCTCCCATATGGTGCACAGCCGAGTGGAGAAGATGGATACTGAAAGCTTTTCTTGCTACAATCCACTAAGCATGTGACGAAGCTCGTACCCACGAGTAAGAATACCTTGGCCAAAACGTTGCTTCAAATCGATCCATACCTCTATTTCTGTTTTCGCATAGCGAACACTGCTCTGTACCTCTTTATCCATGGATATACGTAGCCATCCTTTAACGAATGCATCACAACGACTCCACGCTTTTAACTCGGGATCGGCCATATGCTGTGGAATACTACCATCAACAAAACCGAACTTATTCTTGACTATTAGGGCATTTGTTACGTCAACGACCCACTCACCATAATTGGACGAGGTGAGGACTTCAGAAACTTGGAGCTGACCATTGATGTCCGATGGATGTAAGAAAAATTCTGAAGTTACGTCGAATCCTTGATTCATTGAGAACTCGCCTTTCAGACCAGCGCTAGAAGTCTGCGGATTCTTCGACGTTTCGTCATCACCCATGGAGAATGACAAGCACGGAAGTTGGAAGCGGAATTACCTGAACCTAGGCTCCGATGCCATGTAAAATCGAGAATAAACGCAAGAAGACACGAGATTTTACGTGGTATCCCTGATGATTTGTCTGGACTAATCCACGTGAGAGATCAGCCTCTCCAGATCTGATATAATTATTGACTGCGAATGGTTACAATGTCCAAGAGGCCTACAAGATCATTATATAGGTTTTTCTCATTTTGCCCTACAGTTACACGGGTGGAGAAAGGAATCCTTGTCGTGCATGTAGAAGAGACACTCGACTGGGGCTGGGCTGATGTCGACGTGGGTTGCTGCTCTTCTCGGCCCAATATAGAGGCATGTATCTATGTCCAGCAATGAAAAACAACGTGACAGCACATACAAAGAATTTATTCGAGGAGACAAAATCCATCTATATGCCCAAATTTGTCTTTGCTATTTGTGGTAGATATAGGCATATACCTTCTGACAAGATGCAAATGTTCAAATTCTTACTGTTTATTTGACAATTAGAAATCTGAACGAGGTTAGAGTTTTGCTCTTAGAGCATTCTAAGGTAAATGCCAGTCACCTGTACCCCTGTGACTCTCACATCAACTCTTAATCAACAATGTCATGTCTCAAAATTCATCTCAAGCCATAACAATAAAGATGAGTTGTGGAAATGGAACCCTAGACGCTTGGGTGTTTCTCATTCATACTTGGGTTCGAATAGTCAAAAGCTTTTCACTACAAGACAACATGTGCAAGCTATCATTTGGAGACATTACATATATAAAACATAAGAAACTAAAACTAAATTGTAAACACAACATTGACATTAAACTAAACTTGTTGTTGATGATGATTTTCTCTAAACCTTGTCGATCCACTTTGATCATGGTCGCCGGTTTGAGTCTTGACGATAACTTGAAATATCTCCTGATACCCCCCGCAAGCGGGTGAGCACAAAATGTGCACACCAAACTTGGAGAGAGAATTCAGTCTTGACTTTGGAATGTTGCTACACTTTGACTATCTAACTTCTCTTCAATCTTCAATTGGTGACGCTGTTGCATCTTGCTAGCTGGCTTCCCATTCATCTTCTGAAAAGCAGCTGCATCTGTGGCTAGCTAGTTGAAATTTTTTCTTCTTCTGCAAATGGTGATACCACTGCATCTTTGGTTAGTTGGCATCCCTTCTTCTTCTCTTTCTCCTCCTTCTCTTTCACTTTCTTCTTCTTCAACTCCTCACCCCCCAGCTCAGCTTTGTAGCTTGAATTTCTCCAAATTAACTTGGATAAGGCGTTGCATCTTTGGATTGCTAACTTTCCATTCCTCTTCAACTCCTCAACCCCAAACTTCAGCTTTGTAGCTTTAGTTTCTCCAGTTTTGATGGGATATGTTGTTGTTTTTTCTTGGCTGGCTAGCCCTCCTACAATTGAAAAACCCCGCTGCATCTTGGCTATCTTGCTAAACTTTCACATCTTCAGCTTTTTCTCCTTCATATGGATCTTCAAAGTGGTCTGGATATGCTGCTGCTGACTTTGCTAGCTAGCATTCCATCCGAAAAGTGGGCCGGATATGATGTTGTTGATTTTGCTAGCTAGCATTCCGTCCGAAAAATAATCTCAAATCAGCGAGGAGTGTTTGATTGACAACTTCCCTCTGCTACCTTCTCTTCACATTTTTTGCTTCTGTTTTCTTTTGAAACAATCGTTGCTGTTGGATTTTGAAGCTCCTTTCCATCTGAAAAACAAACTTCAAACTCAATAGGGGAGTGCCCTTGTAGGCTTCTTCCCTCTGCTGCTATATCTGAGGCAGCGGTATTCACCTTCTCCATGCTCAAGCCTCAAACATGAACTTCATTTTTCAATTTTTGGTTGTTGCTGCTTAAACTAGCAACTTCCTCTGTTTTCTTTTTTCTTTTTTTTACTTAATGGGAATCAGGAAGAGATTCAGACGCTTGTCTCTTGGAGATCTCCTCCAAACGACCAATATTGCCAATCCGGGTACTCATCACCAAAGCAGTCAAAATCTCGATTTATATTGTAAAATCCTACGATTTTATGATTTTACTTATTCAGATATTGATTTCACTATAAAATCTAGGGTTAATACCTTTTTTGGCCCAAACTATGACCATATAATCAACTGTATGAAATGTTCAAAATGGACGACGGACAAATTTCTGGAGTGAACGCTGGCTTTTAGAGGGCGAGCCTTTGGAAACTTTTTCCCCCGCAGTCCCAGCGGAAGCCCTTGATCTACCAGTGGCGAACTTTGTACAAAATGGTGACGAATCATGTTTATCTTAACCATTACTTATCCCATGATGTGGTTACGCAGGTGCTGCTTGAATGTTATGCATGGTTAGTTGTGTTTGATAAATGATCTTGTTGAGACTTGCATTTATTCATGAACGAGGTGAGAACTTTTCGTTTTTCCGTTTTTGGTGACCTCGAATGTCATTTTTGGTGGATGCTGGTATTGCTAGAAACGGTCCATGTGTTAATTGCCAATAGCCATTGAGATTTGCCACTTGGTTCCCTTTGATTTGTCCCAAAGTTATTTGGTTAGGTTGAGATATTACCTTGTGTGAGATTGTTTGCTTGGGAACAAGCAAACATGTAAGTGTGGGGGATTGATCCATACCTAATTGTACACTTTTTATCCCCGTTTCTCTTGGGCGTTTGTGGCATTTGAGCTAACAGGTGAAACCAACCCCGGAGGTTTGTTGTGTTTCTATGAATTTCAGAGTCTAACAGGTGAAACCAACCCCGGAGTCGAAAGTTGGAAGAAAAGGTGCAAAGACCGGGCAAAGAGGAGGATCCAGCCACAGTTCACGGTCAAACATTGGAGTTCACGGTCGCCGGGATCATGAACTGGAACCACAAACCGTGAATCGCGAAGAGTCCAGAGGATTTTCAGAGGTTACTGACGCCGAAGCAGTTCACGATCGCTAAGACCATGAACTGGAGTCATGGACCGTGAACTCCTTAAGTGAAGCTGCATGTTTTGATCTGTGTTTGTGGCCCCGACCTGATGTTCATGGCCATGAACTGAGCGCAATCTGACTATAAATTGAGAGCTGAAAGGAAGAAGAAGGGAGAGTCCAAAGTGAGAGAAACCTTCCTCTTCTTGAAACCCTAGAGAGAGAAAGCACGAACCAAGAGGGAGAAGAAGCTAGGGTTTGCTCCAAGTGAAGATTTTGGAAGTTCCTCTTCAAGAGAGGATCTATACAAGCACAAGGAGAGTTGGAGGCATCACAAAGATGGTTTCTGTCTTCATCCTTTGTGTTATTCCATTGTTTAGCATGGAGTGGTTTCCCTTTTTACTTGGGTGTTGTAGAACCCTAACTTCTATCATGTAATTGATTGTGTGGATTGAATGATTGTGTGATGGTGATTTATAATTTAAGAATATAGGTATGTTTCATGGTGATTGTGCATTGTGTGTGCTTGGCAATCTATTGTGCTATTTTAACCTAGCTTAGAGAGAAGACCCCTTATCTTAAGAGGCTCTAAATTCTAAAACTCGAACTTCCAACAACTATACCAAGCACAAGGTGGTCAAGGGTTCCAACAACAACAACAACAAGTTGACAAGTTTTCTAAACTTGAAGATCTAGTCACCACCTTTGTCAGTACAAGCTCTTAGAAGTTTAAGAAGATTGAGCAATTCATGGATGTGGCAAACTCCAAGTTTACATCGGTTGAGGCGAGACTCCGAAGTCATAAAGCAAGTCTCCAGAACTTGGAAGTGCAAATTGGCAATGTTGCCAGGATCCTCACCGAGAGACCAAAGGGAGCCCTACCCTCTCAAACCATTACAAAACCCAAAGATCATGTCAGGGTGAATGCAATTCAATTGATAAATTCGAAGGTGACTTCGGAGGTAGTTTCCAAAGAAGTGAAGGAGAAGGAAGACCCTCTACACGAGGGTGGAGAAAAAGAAACCTCGGGAGAAAAAAAGGAGTGGCGAGGAAGGTATCGCCAACGCCACCTTCAGTGTTGAGTACACGCCCCCCCCCCCCCCCCCCCCCCCCCCCCCCCCCCCCCCCCCCCCCCCCCCCCCCGGATTTTTCCCACAACGGTGCGCAAGGAAAGATTGGAAGCTGAATGTGGAGGTTTAATCCAGATGTTGAGAAAACTCCACCGCAACATTTCCTTCCTCCAAGCAATGGCCCACATGCCAAGGTATTTGAAATACCTCAAGGGGCTTTTCTCCAAGAGGCTGTAGTTCGAGACCTCGCCAATGTCACCCTAGGCGAGGAGTGCAGCCTTTATCCTTAACAGGTTTCCCAAGAAGCAACCCAATCCAGGTAGTTTTACCATACCTCTTTGCATCGGTACTCATCACATAGAAAATTCCATAGGGGACTTAGGGGCAGCATAAATGTGATGGCATTTGAGCTTTTTAAGAGGCTAGACATAGGTGAACTAAAGACTACGGGGCTTAGTGTTACATAGGATGATCACTCTGTCATTAGTCCTATGGGTATTGTGGAGGACGTGCTAGGACGAGTGGAAAATTTTTGTTTTCCGACGGATTTTGTGATCCTGCATATAAGTGAGGATTCTGAGATGCCACTCATACTAGGATGCCCTTTCCTTGCCACCACAAAGGCGTTAATAGATGTAAATGAGGGAACTTTGATTCTGAGGGATGGTGATGAGAAAATTACTCTTGGAATTGAACCTAAGCCTAGGAGTGAGGATGTGAAGAATGTGGAACCAGGTGATATGAATGCAAGGGTAGGAGAACCTTTCAAGGTAAACCCCACTAGTAATGTTGCTTCTTGTGGTGATGTGAAGCAGGAAAGCAAGCAGGGAATCTCGCCCAAAGAAGGAAGGAAAAGAGCTTGGCGGGAAAGAATGAATCACGCTAATGCCCGGAGGAAGGAAAAGGGCAAAGCGAAATTCATTGGCCAAGAATGCCATCCGATGGAGTTTAAGTTGGGAGGAGAAATGCCTTGCCCCTAGATCATGGTGGATCCACTCTAGCTGGCATCACGTTCAAAGGTGTGATAGATTTGCAACCTTCAAGCTAATGACGATAACTTAGCGCTTGTTGGGAGGCAACCCAATGTTGGTTTGTTTTCTTTTCCTTATTTTTGTTTTTGTGGTCGAGTGGTATCCCTGTGCCAGGTCTTTGTGATTGGGTGTTTTCAATTGTGTCATGATCGATAGTAGGCACGGTGGAGTAGGTCAAGTCAAAATTTTCCGGAAATGCCTTGTTTTCACTGCAGTTCACGGTTTTCCCTTGGAGCTCCCGATTTTAATCGACCGTGAACTGCCAAAAGCGTCCGTGAACCAGAGTGTTCCGCGTTTTGTGAAAACTCGTCATTTTTACCCCAGTTCGCTGTCCGAGAGCTATGTTCACGGTCTTAGCGACCGTGAACTGGCAAACGCGTATGTGAACCTCGGGGTCTGCCTATAAAAGGGTCGTGAACGTCTTATCTACATTTTCACGACCCAAACTCGCCGGAATCCTTTCAAATTCATCGGAAAACTGCGATTTCCCGATGAATTTTGCAATATTCACCACCTTCCGACCACCCAAATAAAAAACAAATTTTCGGGCCAATATCCCCTCGTCAAGGGCGACCTTCACTATGACTTTGGGGGGATTTGGAGTCAATTTTTTCCAGTGAAGTCGGCGTCGGCGAACCTCTGACGAGTCTCTAATGAGCTTCCGACGAAGCTCTGACGACCCTTCTCCAGCCTGTTTTCGGCCAGATTTGTGCTTCCCTCGCCCTGCCCTCACTTCCTCTACAATCCTACTTAATTCTCCAGGTTTATTTTCGAATTTACCTTTGTCAATTGTGGAGAGTCGGATTAGGGAGTGAAGTGAGGAGAACTTGAATGTTGAACTTAGAAATAGGGCGAGGGATTAGGTGACTTGTGATGCATGAATATTGACTATGTTTGAATGAGCTTAATTGCACCTTGGCGGGCATAATTTAGGACAAATTGCTTTCAAATGTGAAATTTGCCCACCAAGAGAAGAAAAAAATTATGAAATGATTGTGGAATTTCTTTGCCTGAGTGGTGGATGGCAGCGACCGTGGCATGGTTTGGGTTAGAATTTTTGTGTGAATAAACCATGAAACATCTAGAACCATGTCTTGGTATGCTTGTGCTTAATTGTTTTAAATAGCATGGACCCGTAGTGGAAATATAAGTGTGGGAGGAATTCCTTTTCCTCCCAATGAGTTGAGATTGACAATTATTTCCACGTATGGTGCATGTTTGTTGGTTTTGTAGGATGCTTAATTTGGAGCATGAGTACATCAATTATCTTGTGAACCACGAGCGGTTCGAGGTGAATTTTGCTTATCAGAGGGTCAGTCCGGTTGGACCGCACTGGAAGCTGGACCTGGACCTGTAAAACAAGTTCAGTTGCCGAGCCGCGATATCGGTGGTTGCTTATCACCACCAGTGGCGCCAGTTGCTGACGGTGGATGAGCTCTTCTAGCATGAGCTCTGCGTGGAGTTCTACTCAACCTTCTCCCACATCGTCTCGACGAGCAAGAGGAGTAGACCCCACGTGGATTTCATGCTTGGAGATCAGCCGCGTGTGCTGACATATAACGCCTTCGCCCAGGCCATGGGGTTGGACACAACTTACATGACAATGATACAGCGGCAGTACACCGTCGACTTCCACTATCAGGCCCTCTACTGCCCCGAGCACGAGCAGGTTGAGTTCGAGGCTAGCCACACCAATGTGGTGAAGCTGCGAATCCCGTGGAGAATCATGAACACTCTGCTCACCCGATTCGTCGTTCCCAGTTTGAGAGGGGGCCACTTGATCACCAACAGAGGGTTGATGGCACTCCATTCTGTGAGGAATCCCGCAGAGCCGCTGCCTCTGGGATCGTTGGTTGCCACCACTTTCGCACGGTGTCTGGGGCAAAATAGAGTGGACACGATGCATATGAGGGCACTATCACGAGACTAGCTCAGTACTTCAACGTGGACGTGACGAGGTGCTCCATTTTTGGCCAGACCGAGCCCTTCCCACAGGAGACTCTCTACAACATGAAGTTGGTGCTTCAAGGAGAGCGAGGGATCGAGTGCGTCCAACGTAACATTAAAGTCGCCCATGAAGATAACAGGTTCCCCTACAACCTTCAAAGGAAGCAACTCTGCATATAACATCTTTCTAGCACTCGTCTTATTAGGACTGTAAGCTGCCATCACCACACAACCCTTTACTCAACACACACTTGAATGAAGTGCTCACCAGTCAACACTTCTAACACCAGCAACCTAGGTTTCCAGAGGAACCAAACTCGTCCAGAGACAGAATGAGAATAATTTGTCAAATGCTTCCAACTACCAAAATGTGTATATAGTATCGTATCCGCATTATTTGCAGTAACTCTCGTTTCTAATATAGCAACCATATCTATACTGTATTTATTTAACTTCCTACTAATATATCTATGCTTCTCAGGGCCATTAAAGCCCATGAGATTCCAACAGAGCAACTTAATTGCTTCTGCTTCAACCCCATCCCTTTAACCTTCCTTGGAGAAGAAAGGAGCAACCATAGCCTGACCCTTTTCATTTAGAGGGACCCTAGCCACCACCGCTGACTGAGGAATTCTCAATTCACTACCACAAGCTATACCAGACAGTCTACCCTTCCTAGTAATAAAATGGAACCCATCATCATCCATAATGGCCTTACCTCTTCCCATTGAAGAACTTGAGAAATGGAACTTGCATCTTGGATTATGTCCTGCATCTGCACATGAGCCTTCTGGATTATATCCTCTGGTTGTTTGTCACCATCTCTCTGTTGCCATTTCACCTGCAATGTATCCATATCCACCATGCCCGCAACCACAAGCACACGATTGTTCATTTCGTCAACCTTCCTACAATGTGAACCCTCCCGAACCATATGACCAAACAACCCACAATCCTCACAGCAATTTGGGACATTTAAGTACTCAACATTCAGCGTCATAGACTCACCCCCCGCCGGCCTAATTCAAAACTCCGGTGGAAAAGACGAAGTGGCAGCCATTTCTACACACAGTCGAACAGTTCCAATATGAGTTCCAATTCGCGTAGCTTGATCCATCCAGAGCGGTGTTCCCAAAACGCTAGCAACTCTACTCAACCCATCCACTGTAAATACTCCAATGGCAAACCCTTAATGCGAACCCAAATTGGAAGCAGTCCCAGATTCAGTGCGAGTGGGTGAATACCTGGAGTCCATTTCTGTACAAAAAATGGGTTGTTGTCACAGTTCCAAGGACCATTTTCAAAATCCCAAGTGCAAGAATCCGAGCCCGGCAGCTGGAATAGATAGAGATTTTCACTCAGCGGCGATACATAAACATGTCCCTCCCTTCCCCAAAACCGATGTGCCCAACGACGAATCTTGAACAAGCTCGGCGGCCTGGTAAGGAGTTGTCTGACGAGCGATTTCCTCCATCTCCCATCGCCTTCATCACGAAACGATTGAGGAATAACAAGTTCCCCAACGACCATAACTGGCAGAACATACTGCAAAAGATTATCAGCTCCAACCCCAAACAACTGCCCCCAATTTGCCTGCGGAGGATTGGCCATCCCCGTCAATCATACTAGGGTTTTCTCGCAAAAAGATGAAGAGAAAGAAGAGAAGTCAGAGCACAGCTAAAAACGACCTTGTAAACTTTTCCTTCTTTCATTTCTTAAAAATACATAATTTCAACTCTTGAACTTTCCTTTATAAAATGAAAAAATAGTTTTACAACAAACAAACTTTATTTTGAAAGACTACTTAATATATAATATAGTAATTATTATATCAATCAGGCGGGTTACGGGTTTTTCGGGGTTAGGCTGATCGTGTTCGGATCAATCGGGTTACGGGTTTATTTGGGTTATGGGAATCGGGTTCGCTTTAATCGGGTTGCGAGTTAGTAGGTTTACTGGTTAACCCAGTGATGGCAAAGAGATTCGTAACCGTGGATATCAGCCCGAATCCGACCTAATTGGGTAGGGTAAACCCCAAACCCGAATATTACGGGTAATGGTTGGGTATGTGTTTCTCACTACCCAATCTAAACCCGCCCGATTATACACATACATATGTATTTTGTCTAGAATAATCATTATTTTTCTCTAACATATTTTATATTTATCATATAAATTTAATATTTTCATGAGATTGTGTTGTTTTAATTAATTTTCTTCATTCTAGTGAATTATTGTTGTACTTTTCCTCTTACGTAGTGTGAGAATAAGTGTGAATGTTAACATATTGGTTGGAGTTATGAAGAGAAATTATTGTCCATGGATAACCGTGGATATCCTAAAGGGTATGCGCATGGTTTTGATTTTCTACCCGTTTCTTATATGGGTATGGGTACGGTAAAACCCAAACTACTTTGGGTAGGGTAACAGATATGCACTATTCGCCCCCAACCCAACCCATTGCCACCGGGTCACGGGTCATGGGTCAATCGGGTTGCAGGTCGGGCGGGTTGCGGGTCATTGACTTTTAGTCAATTCATGTTGATGGTGGGTTAGTCAGGTCGGGTTTTGTTTTGGCACCTTTACAGTTGAAGGAGAGCATCCTTATTCGCTGGCCACATGTTTGGAGCGCCCTGATTGGCCAAATGACATAGAAAGCGGCGATTTTTCTTCCTCATAAATCCTAATCAAAGATCTATAAATAGGGATCTAGAGGTATAGTTTGAGGAGAGGAGATGAGAGCTCTAGGAAGGGTCATTACTCTGTCGACAGAACAGCCCTCCTCTCTTAGAAAGATTTAACCTTGAGCAAGAGAATCAAAGTAAAAAACGCCTCCCTATGGCCTTTTTCTCTGTTTCAGCTGCCAATTCATGTGGCTTCCTGATTTCGCGATTGTTTGATTTCTATATGTGTAAATTGTGATGCTTCAGTTTAAGATTTTGTTATTTTTTATTCGAATGATCGCTTAGTCGATCTTGCACTCCTTCGAGGTGCAAGGATTAAAGTCATAGTCGTTAGGTTATATATCTATGAAGTGGCAGATGATGGGTTGGAACAGTCGATTAGGAGCGAGGATTGACGGAATAGAATGTCCATTAGTGTCACTTCATGCAACATGGCATCATTACTAGGGCCTTATATGCAAATATCGTAATCACATATTCATAAACGTCCACCTAGCTCACACCTTCACAATAGGGATAAGACATGAAGTGCTAGATTTTGTAAAGCCATATGGGCATACATTTGGCATAACACTGACGATTAACTGCTTAGAGAATCCAGTAAGGTGGCTGAGCTATCTCGAAAGGAAGAGGCTGACATTTGTTGACCCATCTTGGAGGAAGCTATGGAGTCAGTCAGCGACCCCGGCACAAAATTGTGCACTTTGACGAGGAGGATGAGGATGAGTTCGAGATTGATGAGGAGCTGATCTTAGGAGCCGTGTAACACCCCAATAAAGAGCTCAGGCCTCCTTTCAGCGCCGCCACAATAGAGAAGGTAATCGTCCTTCTATGCGTCACATACTTATATTCCATTCAAGCGGGGATGGATTCTCGGTGCACCTAGGGTGGCTCATTTCGAATATGTTTGCCAAAATTGTATCCAAGAGGAATCCGAGACAACTTCCAGGTGCTGGCTACATCCTGACAGTCGCCGACTTTCTCTGCAACCACCAGGATAGATCCCAGACCCCTCATGAGGTGTGGGAGAGGATCGAGAAGAGCCTTCTCGTCCCTTGCATTAGAGCACACCGTGTGGGGGGTCTGTTCCTTCACCATTTTAGGGGTGGATTTGTTGCACGGTAATTCGTCCTTCGTTGAATGGGTGAGGGGTAAAAGGCACTGCATTGAGCTGGTCACTCGACCGTGCCCTCTGCCAGCCACACTCTGCGGGGAAGTGCCTAGGACTGATGGTGCTTCTACCTCAGCAGATCCTCTTCCCTTTGCGCAAAAACTTTGGTACCTAGACGATTTTTCCGACATATTGATTAGCAAATGGCGAGATCTCGTGACTACATGGAGCGCGAGCTAACTTCAATTCATTCAAGTGTTGATGCCAACTATGCTTTCCTTTGGTAACAGCAGGCAATGTGGTTGTAGCAGTGCCCTCATTCCAGACTTGGGATGCTGACTTTGGCACTCAACAGCCAATGTCTCCACCACCTCCTCAAAAGTCGTATGGCCAGTACTTCGATGTTGATGACACTAGCAGCAGTTAGGTGGAGTCTAATGTGTGATGTATCCTTTTGTTTATGTATGGGGAGTGGTTTCCCTTCCACCCTTTATTTTGATTTGTTTCTTTCTTTGAAAACCAAACATCAAGGAACTCACGGTAAGCTTGAATTTTTGGCAATATGGTAACTTTTTTCTACTTATTCCTTATCTTCTTATGCAATCCAATGAGGACGTTTTCCCATTTAAAGTGTGGGGTGGGATTTAGGTAGACTGGTTTTCATCTAATATACCATGTTCTGATTGTTCATGCATATGGGGAAGCGTGCTTCCTACATAACATATAAAAGTTGCACAAACCTTGCTTTGTAGGAAATTTTGTCGAGGTCGCAGGTTCATAGTTAGTTTCTCGACCGCGGTTGTTGTTGTGAATTAGTAAGAAATTTTATTTTCAAATTGTCAATTTGGGAATTCATCCCTAATTTTCATAGTTTGAATCACGTCCGTACGAGAAAGAAATGTTGTGTGTGCATTTGCGCATAAAATTCGACAATCTCGAGTAATGCCCCATTCCCAAAGCAAATTTGAAATTCGTCATACTTTGAATTGCTACTCTACGTGTTAACACGTAAGGTAGGCTGATGTAGGGCCTATGAAGGATATCCTTGTCGTGAAACTTGGATCCATCTTTAGAGAAAAACGTATGAATTGGTGCTTCCTACAATTCCTTTAGATTTCTCAAACTCCTCCTCAAAGGAAGGAGTCCTTTATGCTAAAAGCCAAAATAGGGTCGATATGTAGCTTCACACAATTGATATCCTACCACGTTCAATCTACTTCAACAGATGATTTAGTTGTAACTAAATTGTGAGGCGTCTTATCCTTGTAAAAATTTGGGTTTGGAAGAGATACTAGTTGAGTCTTGATGGGGCAGGCCTACGAGATGATGTAGTTCCTCTCTAGTATAAGTAAAATTTTCACCCGTATGATAGGATTTCCAACTTGAGGATGTGTTTCTTAGGGAACGGATAAAGCTTCTGACACCCTTGACTTCATAGGCCCTCCACACGATTAATGAAAAGAAGCAAGCACTCTTGTTTGATCAGGCTTGCTTAGTACCAAAGTACAATGCGCAACCCCTTTCTGCATATAAAATGGCACGAAAGTGCAATGCGACATGGCAATATCGTGAAAATACGAAAACGTCCAAAAAGACTTACGTGGCAAGGAATGCAAATGATTCTTAATAAAGCTACATAGGCTTCATCCCAATAGTCGTGAAAGAAACCTCGAGGGAGGAAAAGAGAACTCCAACTCATAAGAACCGAACCATTTCATTCTTGCAAAGTAAGTTTGGGCATCATTGCCAAGATCAAAGGTTTCTAAGTGCAAGGTTGACCTTTTAAGCTTCTTATGATTCACTACCTAAGATTGGAAGTCACGTGATATCGTGAAGATCTAGTAAGGAGAAAGATATTGAGGCTAGGTTTGCTTGCGAAAAAGCAAAGTTCAAGTGTGGGGCTATTTGATGGCATGTGAAAGTATCTTTTCTAAACACAAGTACATTCCCGTCATTATCATCATAATAAATTGAATTATTGTTGTGATTTCTCCAAGTGTGTTCTAGCAACACTAGGATTCCTTTTATATGATTAATACGCTTTTGGTAGCGTTTTGTGTATTTTCAGAGCAAAGCAGCCTTGTGGGCCACTTGGAAGGAGAAGAGGACTTCGAGCCCAATTTGCTGGAGCTAGGATTTGAAGATCGGATGTCAAAGTAAAACGGGGCCCGGATCGCTGTTCTCTTAATAGAAAAAAGAGGCCATGGCGCCATTTTTGGAGAGTCGTCCATTTTTTTAGGAAGTTATCCCAGAATATCCTGATTCACTAGCCACATGTTTGGAGCGCTCTGATTGGCCGAATCATGCAAAAAGAGTGATTTTTCCTCCTCAGAAAGCCTAATCGAAGATATATAAATAGGGCTCTAGATGTAGATTTCAAGGTGAGGAGGCACGATGTCAAGGATAGTTAGTTACTCTACTGTCAGAGCAACCCTCTTCACTTAGAACGAGTTTTCCCTAAAAGGGATAATAGGTGGAAAAACAAGGACCTAGGACTATTTTCTTTATTACAGCAGTCGATTCTTGTGGCCTCCTAGTATTTTCATTTCCATCGATGAAAATCCAGGAATCCCTCCCCATGGTTGGCTAAGTTCCTTAGTTATGTAGGTATTCGAAACCTAGGGGTTCTAACCATTTAAACTCAATGATTTGGTTAATAAGATTGTTTAATTTTCATATGTATGATGTTTGATTTCCACTATTTCATTATTTGTTGATTAGAATGATTGCTTAGTCGATCTTGCATTACTTGGAGGTGCAAGGATCGATATCATAGTCATTTAGGATGGTAGAAATAACGGTCCTACTCGATCGAACCTCATTCGATCAAATATTATGATGCCCCAAGGGAGAAATCTGAAGGGTTCTTGTCGCCCATTAGTTCAGTTAAATACTTCGACACAAGGTGGGATCTAACGAAATAAGAAATCGACAGCTTGTATGTTCCCATCATCGGGGGCATGTGGCTAGGATACCCAGGGGAACCATTGCCTATGCAACGCTTTCCTTATCTACTCTCTCACTTATCCAACAGCTAAGAATTTACTTTTCTACATCGCTTTACTTTTCCGAACTCGTACATTCTGCAAAACCGGAGGAACCTTGACCTCTGAAACTGACATCTACTTTAAAAGAACCTTACCTCACTTCCAAAGTAAAGGTTCTGAGAGAAGCCCGAGGGAATACGATCCTACATTAGGGCCAATCAAATTTGGTAGCGACACTATAATCGACATCATTGAGAAAGTATCTTAATAATCTAATCCATGAGTTTGTGTGTAGCTCATTGCCACAAGTCTGGCTTTAAATTTGTCAATACTACCATGAGGGTTGTGTTTTACCCTAAACATCCACTTTTTACCAACCACTAGTGTATTAGGTTGTAAGTCAGCAAGGACCTATGTTTGAGTTCTATGAAGATAAGATAGTTAAGAATTTATTGCATTGGTCCATCTAGGGTCTGTGAAGTCGCTTTCTAAGAGGTTAGTTCTCCAGCCAAATTAAGGGAAAATGCAAATTTCCTGTATGTGTTGGGTGCTGAGTGAGGTATAAGTGAGAACATCTTAAACATGATATTCTTGTTGTTTAATGGAGACTGATGTCTCACTTAATAGTTCTGACTCTATCATATATTCTAAGTGGTTGATGATTTGTAGGAGTAAACTCGGCTTGTTGGAGCGAAGGTGATTCTCGTGCTAATTGTAGAGGAATACTATCAAAAGAAATGTCTTGCTAATGAAGTGGTGTAAGAGAGGAGGATCTTGAAGGTGGATTAGATGGTGATGGCCCAAATCTAGAAGGGGTTTGGGATATACTGGTAACAACCCAGATTGGGATTGAGGGTTTGCTAAAAATGGAAATATGTATTCATGGAGAATTACATCCTTATAAATGAATTTCCTTAATTTCTAGGTTACACAATCTGTAATCTTTAGTGACAGTAGGGTATTCTTGAAAAACACAAGTTTTAGCTCTATGATCAACCTTTGTTGTAGTATCCTGAATTGTTGTAGCATATGATAAACATTTAAATACTTTCAAATAGGTTGAGTCTGGTGGATGTTTATTTAATATATCAGGTGTTTTGTTGTTAAGTAAAGGTGTTGGGGACCTATTAATGAGATGGACATCATATATTGCTGCCAAATTCCAGATTTGATTAGGAATATAAGCTTGAAAGAGTAAAGCTCTTGTAACATTGAGGATATGTTGATGTTTCCGTTCTACAATTTTATTATGCTGAAATGTATATGCACATGTGGTTTAATGGATGATTCTTTTGGAGTTGTAATATTCTGAAATCTGAAATTAAGTCATTGTCAATGCTAACAAATTTAACTTCTTTTTTTAAATGTGTTTCAACAAATTTCTTTTTTCAAATTTTTTTTAATGGTGATAAATTGTTCCAGATTTTTTTTTTCCGCACAAACAAGCAAGTGTGGTGACTATAGTAATCTACAACAGTTAAAGAAGTACAAATGAGAAATGACCATATAGATGGATTGAACCGGGGCATTTCCCCAAATGTCAATTTGCAGAAGATCAAAATGAGCTACAAACTCACTAACTTCGGTAGAAAAATGCAGATATTTTTGTTTTGCCTTTGAACAAATTGAACAATGAAGACATGAATTCTCATTTACAAAACATTGAGGTAATTGTATAAATGACATAATCTAAGTGTCAAAGGTGGATTGAATGTTGAGTGGTAGAGAAAGCAACAAATGGTTGATGTAGTGACTAGTGAGGCTTGAAGACTGTTGGTTTATTTAGTGGAATGCGAGAGATACAAGTCTTGCAATTGACTTATGTTGATTCGTTAACTAAGTTTCAAGCAACTCTTATCATTCAGTGAACTGTCTCGTCCGATCCTGTTTTAATCAGAAATAATTTGATAACATACCCCGCTAACTCAAACTCAAGTTGGTATATATGGTGACATGGTTACTCTTCGAAGGTAAGAAAATTACCAAATGCTAAATACAATGATAGTGTTTACTTTAGATAGAAACATGATTGATGTGACTTTTGGAGGAATATGAAGTATTCTTGGAAACTTCTAATTGGTTTGAAGAAATGCATAGGAAAGAAATATGCTGATCAAGGCTATGTATTCGATTATGAAGAAGAAATTTATATTATCATAGTTAGTTGTGGTTATTTTTATCAATTTAAATTTCTACTTAAAAGTTAAAAACAACTTCCATTTCCTCCATTTTATCTGCAGCTTTGCTTGTAATCTGTTTTTGGTTCAGTCATACACAATATAATACAAAATCACTAGCACCAATAAGATTAATGTGAGTATTGTTGCTTTTGGACACTAATAAATAACAAAAATGCAACATTAACGACTGGTGCACTCTCTCTCCAGTAGAGGAAAATACTAGCAGCTATACAAACCACCATAAAATCTATTATCTGAGTTATATAGAGATCTTCTTGATGCATTCAGTAGGATTGAAATGGCAACAAAACACAGTGTATCGGTGAAATTGGTAAAACCCAGCCATAATCTTAGAACTAACCTAAAATACCCAATCCTGTAGAGTCAAACTACGAATTCGGCCCGGTCCTATTTTCTCATGAACCTTTCTGAGCCACTTGGGTAGGACTGGATCGGTTCGGGCCAAGTCTGCGGGTCAGCCCAAATCAACAAATTATTATTTGAAGAACTATATTAGATACCCAAATTTATTTTTTCTTACAATTAGTGCCTAATTTTTTTTTACAAATAGGTCAAGGGATTGAAGTGGAAAAGTTATGTTTTGGTACCTTGCATTGTAGTACTTTCCTACCTTTAAAATTTACAAATAAATTCAATATTTTTGGTATGAGATATTTCAAATCACTAATTATTGTTATGGGTCCTAATGGGTTTGAGGGTAAAACCCAAAAACACACTAGCTCTCTAGGACCAGAATGTAACATGTATTTTGGCCCTAAACACTTATTGACCCTACCCGACTCTAAAGGTTGGGTCTGGCCAGTGGGTAATTAATACCATAGTTACATCCCTACCACATTGGGTAGAGAACCTCAATATGCATATTCACACCTTTGACTAGGAATGGTAATAGGGCAGGGCCAGGGTGGGTATCTCGATACCATACCTGCCCTGTAGCAGTTCGAGTCTAGGTCGGGTAATTCATCAAAGGTTGCAGGTCGGGGCAAGTCGATCCAATGGGTATTTAGTTTAGAAGAAAACCATGAGTAAATATTCAATTTTTTCATTAAAACCCCAAGAAACAAAGTAAAATATGATAAAGGTAGTTAAATTATTTAAAAATTGAACTTCACACCACTGGCGGATCCAGGGGGTGGCCACCCCAGGCCCCGGCCCAGCCCTCCTCTGGATCCGTAGTTACTATAGTCCTTATGAAATTTTTGATTTTAGACATTCAATCCAGTGTTATTCTATGATAAGATTGGGTTTAACTAGAAAAATTATCAAGTTAAACATATTCAAATCATTATTCTAAATTTAGTCTAGAAATTTTAGCCCCAAAGATTATGCGTCTTAAAAAAACAATGAAACCTAAAATTCTAAAAAGTTAAAAACGTAAAAGACTAAAAGAAATATGAGGTTTGTTCCCTTACAAATTTACTAAAGCAGCTGGTGTGCAGGGATGGACACAACAATGTAAATTGATTAGTCGATTGATTTATCTAGTGTTGATGTTGCTCGTTTCAACAGCTACTACGAAGAGAACCTTTTTAACAATGAAACATGTGAGAACTTATTTGCTCAACAAAATGAGCGATGAATTTCTCGCCGATTGCTAAAGTATTTTATTTGAAACAATGTATACTATTGGTATGGATGTAGACTTCATTATTGATTGCATTCCCTAAATTAAAATACAGTTGTGTACAATTTACATTGCAAAAAACTATAATCATTATTTTTTTTTTTACGATTCTAATTTTCTAATGAAATGCGGCCCAGTGCTCTTCTGTGTTCTGGATCCGCCGCTGCTTCACACATGTTTAAAACTTTATTGCCGTATAAATAAGCAGTATTAAAAGTAAAATTATAAGTAGTTCTAATAAAATTACATGTAATTTAGGCAAAGACGGGTCGAGAATGGAGCGGATCAGGTCAGGTCGAGAAAGAGTACACATGACCGCCCCGGCAGGGCGGGTCGGACCCACCTCAAAATAGATCAAACAGGTCGGAAAAAAAGGGTCGGGTCAAAATTGCCATCCCTACCTTTGACTGGTTTGGATCATATATTTTATATTAGGATGTGGGTCGAGACAAGTTAACCATTCATATATGCGTCTAATAGTCTAAAAATTACCGAATGAAAATGAAGTTTCGCTCTACAAAATAGCGACTATGACATAATATATGAAGGAAATTTATTCAAGGAATGAAGGCTCTCGGATAATGAGATAAGATTTGAGCTAAAATATGATACAGTCTATATTAAACTATAACTTAGACAAAGATGGTTGAGAATGAGGCAAGGTATGGCCAAAGGGTTTTGATGTGCGGATCCCAAAGCATATCAAATCATTCGGGTATCGAAATTGTCATTCATAAATATTAAGCGATGATTAATTGTCTTCCAAAAATTAAGATCTTGCTCAGTTATAACAAAATCCAACCTTTATGTGCTAATTTTTATACGTAATACAAGACATAATGGCTTTTGACAGTCTTACTAATACATAATCTACTATAGAAAAGAATGTGCCCGTAATAAAACAGGATCGTTGTATAAAGATTCACCAATAGATCATTTACAATACACAAAGGTGTGCGCACAAGAGATTTTACTAAATTATCAAAACTTCGAACAACATAAAGCAACCGTATATATACCAATCCAATTGCTAAAACGATTCTAAACATGATCTCCATAGAAACTAACAGGATTGACATATGAGGAAAGTCTGAACCAGAGAGACAAGTTCCAAAAGAAGCAGCCCCAGCAAATCACCAGAAGCAGCCGAATCACCGTGCGCTCATCAGCCCCTAAACCATTTGTGACGCTACGCACAACCGTGGTTAAAAGCTCAGCCGTCCTGATGATCACATTCCTGCTCGTTGTTGCTCTTCCATGTACTCCCACGTTGAGTCTTAACCTGGCCCCATTCGTCGTTATAAGTTCAGCAGCTACCTGATCACGGTCTTCCTTCGAGATCGTAACAATTGTTCCTTCCGTCGCCTTTTCCGGTATTGAATTGACATCTCCTCCGTCGAATTTTAGAGCCAACTTCAAGGTCTCGTAGCTTCTCCCATCCGTCGTCGTATTTCTTAAATCGGACAGCCCTTCGAAGTTGATGCGAAGAACGAGACCAGGATCTCGTAGCTCGAAAATGGTCGCGAATGCCACCATCACCATTGTTATGGAGATCGTAATAGCGACAAATATTGTTACCATTAGACAACACAACCTCGTATACTCATGTTGGCCTTGTGACTGTTGGGAGTACCTGCCATAGATCTTCTCCATTGGAAGATCACGAGTTGAAATTTTGAGAAAGAAGAGAAGAAGAAGAAAAAAACCAAATCAATTTTGACCTTTTGTAGAATGTGAGTATAGAGTGACGAAAGGTTTTATAATTTTTTTGAAACTGAACCTGCAAGTTGAATGCCATAGATGGGGGAATGATATTAGGAACTAATACAATGGATTAATATAAGTATAAGTACTATATATGCCTTATTTGTTATTTTTGTTCAATCCTGGGCGCAATTCCCTCTATTAACCTCTCATCTTGTTACCGTGTTATCGTAAAATTTTCAATAATTTTTATAACTAATACGGATTCATTGATTCTAATCATATTTAACATGTCAAATTTATTCTCAATAAAAAAAGTCAGGAAGAAAGGACTCGTAATTCTGCGCTTCCTGCCTTTCTGAGTTTTTGTTGTAATGACACGGATTTAGAGAAGAGAATACATTTTTTTCTAATTCTTTTTTAATCGGGGCCTATTTCATTCATTTCAATTTTCAACTTAGAATTTAAAAAAATTTGCAAAGAAAAAACGCATTAATCATGATCTATACACTAATGTCTTCAAAAAATTTGCTATTTTTTTAGCAAAGAAAAAATAAAGTCTTCAAGGTTGTGGTATTATTACTATCATATCTTCATGATATGACAATTATATGATGACAACATCTCCTTCATTTGTATAGAAAGAACACGTTAATTAAAATATACATAATGATATATTCATTTTGTTATGTTTTGTCAAACATAAGACCTCATTGCCAACATGAAATGACAATGATATGATGTCATCAAATTATTTTGTCATAATACCTCATACTAACATCATATCACTACCATACCAATATTATACCATTATAATATCAACATCATACCACTACGAGTGGTAATATCGTGATACAACGATAGTAAGATGACGTAAAACATTTTGCACAAAAAAATATGTATTAATCTTGTAGAGCACAAAAATACTAATTTTTTGTGCAAATTTTTTGAAATCTTATATAAAACGAATGAGATAAGGTCAATTGAATTTTCATGTGAGATTTGAAAAATGCTTTAATAATCACCTGGAAATTCACGCCACTCCCCCAAAATTCGATCAGTTGCCCCAAAAATTTGGTTAGGCCTCTCCAAACTCCTACTTTTCTTCCTTTGCCCTTTAAAAGGAATAAAGGATGTCCATTATATCACTTTTCTCTCAATCTCAGTCATTCATTATATAGTTTTATAGTAAAACAAAGCTATAAGTTTTGTAACTAACCCAACCCATAAAAAAATACATATGAGGGCAAAGTTGTAGATTCGGAGTAGGGAATCCATGAGAGATTGGGAATGGAGAGAAGCTCGTTGATGGATTATGACTTGAGACCGGATAGGGTGCTAACACCCATTAGTGTTAGCACCTTACTCTTTACAAACTGGGTATTAACAAAACAGCAGAATTAACCCACTGATCACAACATTTTCAACAAGAGGAAACCTATACTATGAACCAAGAGCCAAAGCTAATCAAGACCAGAAACTATTCATGTTTTCATCTGGGAACAAAACAACAATATCATGCTTAATTTGCTCAATAATCTCCTGATGCTTTTTCTTACCACCTCCATGCTTCTACAAGCACCTTTCTCGCCAAATAGAACTGACTATAGCCCTCCAGATTGCCCTTGCCACCTGTTTCCTCACCTGCTTCCCTTTGAACTGAATAGAGGCCCACTACAGTTCAGCATCCCAGTTAGCAGTTGGAGTTCTAGGGTAAGCTTTAGCCAGCAAACCTGCAAACAACTCCTTAGACATACAACATTCACTAAACAGATGATCTCTGGTCTCCAGAGGGTAGGAACAGAACACACAAGTAAAGGGACCTCTGCCACCCCAGTTTGCAACTTTGTCACTGGTTGTAATATAGTTCTTGATTACCAACCAAACAAGAAATTTATCCCTAGGGGGAGATGGACCTTTCCAGGCTAAAGAACACCAGGGAACATGGACTTCTTGGGGCCTGAAAGACTCCCAAGCCAGACTGATACTATACTTCTTCATTACCTTACCATTCCACCATACCTCACCATTCACCAGAGACATCTGCTGGACAATCTTATCTCTGCTTTTCAACAATTTTAACCAAATCCAAGAACCAGTTTTGGACTGGAAAGTCCAAAAATCATGATTCTTTAACCTGTAAACCCTTATACATGCCACCCACAAAGATCCCTCCTGCAGCAGAATCAACCAAATATGTCTTATCACACAAGAGAGATTCCAGCTCACTAGATCTCTAACTCCTAATGCACCTTCCTTCTTAGGGAGTGCTAAATATTTATAGGCAGCAGTAGCCCTTTTCTTTCCCCCCTTACCTACTACCCAAAGAAAATCACTAGAAAGCCTTTCAATTTCCTTAATTATCCTTTTTGGCAGAATGAACACTGTCATCCAGAACTGTGTTAAGCTTGAAAGCACAGAAATCACCAACTGCAATCTCTCTGCATAGCTAAGAAATTTTGTTTTCCAACTATGTATCCTTCCTGTTATTTTATCCAACAGTGGTTTACATGCCTTGATTGAAAGTTTACCTGGGATTAGAAGCAACCCCAGATATCTGATTGGAAGAGTTCCCAACTTATACCCTGCCCTTTGAGCCATCTGTTTCTGCCATTCTATAGGAATTCCACCACAAAACAATTCACATTTTTCAGGATTTGATTTAAGTCCAGAGATCCTCCTAAACTCCCCCAAAACTCTCTAAATAGACTGAATACCATGATTTGAACCATTCGAGAATAGAAGCAAATCATCTGCAAACATTAAATGGGTCAACCCCAACCTCTTGCACATAGGATGGAAAGGCATTTTCCCCTCTCTTACTGCCTTGGCCATTAAACATGATAAGATTTTCATAGAAATGGCAAACAGATAAGGGGACAGTGGATCCCCTTGTCTTAAACCTTTTTTCTGAGAAATACCCCACAATCCCTTCATTGAAACCCACATTCAATTTAGGAGTAGTAACACACATAACAATCCACCTCACAAAAAAATTAGGGAAATTCATTGCTTTTAACAGAGTGATTAGAAAGTCCCAATCCACTGAGTCAAAGGCCTTCATAATATCTACCTTGACAATGCTTCTTTGAGATATATCACTTCTATTGTACTTCTGAACTAACTCATGAGCTAATAAGAATATTTTCACCAATCACTCTCTTTTTAATAAATGCAGTTTGATTATGGCTTATAAGGGAAGGCAACACAAAGCTAAGCCTAGCGGCAAGAATCTTTGCTACACACTTGTAAAGCGTGTTGCAACAAGAAATTGGTCTAAATAACTTCATCTCCTCAGGGTTCTGAACCTTAGGTATTAGTGCTAAGAGAGTAGAGTTTGTACCTGAAGGAAGAGAACAACTAAGGAGACAATATTGCACAACAGAAGTAATATCACGACCTACAATGTGACATGCTGTTTGGAAAAAACAAGCTGGGAATCCATCTAGCCCCAGACTTTTATCCCCTTTGAAACCAAACAGGGTGTTATTGACTTCATCCTCCAATACTGGCCTAATTAAAGTAGCTTTCTGCAATTCATCAACTTTAAACTGTATGAGTTCTCTCATTTCCTCAACACTACTCGCCTGAACCTGTGAGTCCTTCTGCCCAAACAACCTTTTATAGAACAACTCTGTTATCTTGCACATACTATATGTGTTTGTTACTCGAACACCCTCATCATTAATCAGAGATCCTATCATATTTAATTTGTTTCTGATTTTAACTGACCTGTGAAAGTATCATGAGTTTGAATCTCCCACCTTTAACCTGATTTCCCTTGATTTCTGCCTCAAAAATGATTCTTCAGCTTCCCTTAGTGATTTGACATCAGCAGTTAACTGAACTTCTTCTTGAAAGGTTTCAGTTGAAGGTGTTTGGAAGGCTCTAGCCTGAGCTACGATCAACTCATGTTCCTTGAGCTTAACCCTCTCATGAAGATCTGAGTATTCACTCTTATTCAGTTTCTTAAGCAACCCTTTCAGTATTCTTAGCTTTCTACTAACTCTCTCCATGGGAGTACCAGCAACCTCTGAGCTCCAAGCCTCCTTCACCAGATCCCAGTACTTTTCATTTGTCATCCAGAACTTGAAAAACTTAAACGGTTTAGGGAGAGATTTATTGAACTGTCAGTGTTAACAAACACAGGGCAATGGTCTGATACTGCATGACTCAATATATCAACTGTGCTAGACCCAAATACATCTAACCATTTACAGTTTATGAAGGCTCTATCCAATCTCCTCGCAATTGGGTTTCCAGACTGCTTATTTATCCATGTGAACCAAGGCCGAGAGGACTTATGCTCAACAATCTCAATGTCAAACTGCCATTTTCTAAAATCCACCATACTAGAACTAACTCCAGGCAAATTAGAGGCCTCAGTCACATCTCCTATTGCATAGAAATCCCCCAATATAACCCAAGGTTCAGATTGAACCTGAATAACCCCCAGATTACTATAAAGAACTCTTCTCTCAGCCTCCTCATTAGAGGCATAAACCACAGTGACAAAGAAGGTCAAACCAGAACAAACCATAGCATGGATGAACTGATTCGTACTATGAAGGACCCTCATCTGTACATCTGACCTCCAAATCAGCCCAATTTTACTTAAACCAGCTTTATTTTCCACTATTTTCTTCTCCCAACCTGAAAATCTCTTATTCACTAGTTCCTCAGCTTTATCAACTTTGACTCTTGGTTCTAATAAAGCAATAATATCTATATTATATTTATTAACTAGTAGTTGCACAGCTTTATTTTTTCCCGGGTCTTTAAATCCCCGAGTATTCCATGATATAAACTTCATTTCCTCTTACCTCCCCTACCCCCTCTCTTTGAAATGGGAGCAGTAGGTGTCTTCTTTCTCTGACTCACTGTAATCCATGGATTCTGAGTATCAGGAGGTTCTTCCAAAGGGTCATGCCTTCCAGAGTTCTCCAAAGCACTAGAAGAACTACCCCCGTAGATGGGCCCTTCACCACATCAACAAAACTCACAGTCTGGTCCCCAGGATCCCCTTCAGTAGTGACCAAATCACCAGAAGTTTGCCCCTCCTCAACTGAAACCTCCAAAGGTTCTTTCTCAAACTCCAGATCAGCATTAACCATCTCTTTACCCTTACTTACAACTTCCAACACAGTTAGGACATCTTCAGCACCAGCAGACTTACCTATCTCAGCACCAGCAAACTTAACATTTGGCACCCATTTCTTATCTCCAGTCTCACTTCTATTGCAGTCATGCCCATAGACTTCACACTTAGAGCAAACAGGAGGCTTGTTCAAATACTCAATCCCAATATTAAAACATGGATCATCATCAGGATATAACCTAATTTTAGTAGGAAAACCACAATCAGCCGCAAGATTAACACAAACCTTCGCAAACTCCAACTGATGGCCCTTCCTTGTGGTTTGATCCATCCAGACGGGTGGACCAATAGTACTTGCAACCCATTCGAGCCCTTCAGTCGTATGATACTCCAGAGGTATCCCCCAAATCCTGACCCAAATCGGCAATTCCTCAATTACTGGGGCAACCGGCTGAATCCCTGGTGCCCACTTCCCGAAGAAGATCTGATTGCCATGATAGTGCCACAGGCCCGATTTGAATACCCACTGGCTTGTCCCTGCAGAGGGAAACTGGAACACCAGTAAGAGCGGCACAAACCTTGATACCGTCACAGGACCATCCCTTCCCCAAAGACCATTTGCCCACTGTTGGAGAAGTCCCAATTTAGGAAGAGCCCCCACGAACTGCCCGATCAGACAATCCTTCCACCTTTCCTCACCCCTCTTTTTCACTTCGCGAGGCAGAAGAAATCCATCGTGAACCTTTTCCGGCGGGCGGAAGCGCATTCTATTGGCAGGAGCAACATCAAAAAGTGACCGATGGAGAGGCCGCCATGGCGACGAGAAAACCCTAACCAGAGCCCAAACGCGCGCGAGAGAGAGAGAGAGAGAGAGAGAGAGAGAGAGAGTTTTTTACGACAAAATATCTTTCGCAATAAAATATTATTAATTTTGACGAAATAAATAATTCATCGGTACTAATTGGTCAGAAAAAAATATTTTTTATGCCATAAACAGTTCGTCAGTACTGTTTGGTCAGGAAAAAGACATTTTGGACGGCATAAATATTTTGTCAGTACTATTTGGTCAGATAAACACATTTTTTACGCCATAAAAATTTTGTCAGTATTGTTTGGTTAGGTAAAATTCATTTTCGACACCATAAACATTTCGTCAGCATTAAATGGTCAGAAAAATTGTTTCTGACTCAATTAAAAGTTTGTAATTAGGTACTACTATGGTCAGAACAAATCATTTTTTACGCCATACACAATTCTTCAGTACTGTTTGGTTGCAAAATTGAAACATTTCTTACAAAATTAAATACCGGAGACTTTTTTCTTTAGAAGAAATTATTGGGAAGCAGTTATGAAAATCGGACAAGCATGACATTTTCTAGAAATGATTATTGAATCGATAAAAAACACACATCTTCTTTAAGTAATTATAATACGCATTGTTCTATAAAAAATAAAAATGAGGTAATATATATCCCGATCTACGAAGACCAAATTAGTCCTAATTAATCTTCGAACCCTGCTCTAGTTTAGTTTATGATATCCTCTCCCTTAGTTTGGAGTCAATTAGAATATTGTCTTCTTGCTAGGATTTTTCTAATGCTCCTTCTCTTTCCGTATTAGAAGGCATCACGAACAAATTTCTTGGTCGCATTTCATCCACAATTTCCCAATTTGGATCTCTCAAAGACTGCACATAATAAACTTGAATTGCTTGACTAGCCAGAACAAATGGCTCATCTGTTCTAAGCCTTCGCGTTGTGTTGATGGTAACAGTGTCGTGACCAATCTTCTTGTAACCAACACCTTCACCAGCGGTGTCATACCACTCACACTGCTTCGACCATACGAACACCTCGAGTACTTACTTGTTCCTCGGAGCTCTGTAATTTACGTTGCAAAATATATTTTATTAATAAATTTCTATAGTAACTATCCATTTGAATAAAAAAAATATTATAGCCTACAATAAATAAAAAAATTGGTATATATATGCACCTTATAAAATCTTGCACCTAATCACTGTTTTGTAGAACATAAGAAGTTGTCGCCTTCCACAAAGCATTATTGAAGTGTCTCATGTCGTCCTTTACACCAATAACACGACTGACACTCGGAGCAACTAATAACTCATGAGGTCGAGAAGATGAAGAAGATTTATCTTCATTTCTCTTCGACCAATTAAAAGTTGTTTCCGATCGAGTCAAGTAATGCAAGCAAAATGTGACGCATTCAACGACCAGACCAATATTGCATTCGGTCCCATTTGGTCAGGTCCAAATATCAAATATATTCATGTTTCTTTAGTAATTATAAAATTTATTAGACCAAGGACCAAATCGCATTAAACTCGGTTATGTATGGTCCAAGCAAAACATCAATTTAGTCCGGTTCAAACATCAAATTGTATCCGATACAGACCATGGAACATTCTTATATTATAATCTTTCGTAGAATAGAAGCATATCATATATAGTAGGGGTGGCTATATGGTCCGGTCTGGTTAAATTGGACCAAATTGATCCGGTCCCAGTCCGGTCTTTTCGGGAATATAAGGACCAAAGATTGGATTGGATACACTCCGGTCTTGATCCGGTCCGGTCCCAATTTTATCTTGATTTTAAGTGTTGGTGGTCTCTTATCCGGTCCTTATCCAGGTTTTTTTACCTCAAATCTAAACCCGAATATGAGATAGGATTGTTTGCTATCCAGTCCCAGTCCGGTCCCGGTCCGAGTTTTACGGTCCGGTTTCGGGTAAAACCAAACAGTCCTGGACCAAATTGCCAGCCCTAATATATAGTAGCTTTCATCCTAAAAAATAAAATATGGAAAAAAGTGTAAGAGTTGTTTAATAATAATGATTACTCATTTTTATACAAAAGAAAAATTTGTGTCATATATAAGAAAAGATAAACTTTTTAATATTCAATAAAATTATCATTCCAAACACGGATTGAGAGAGATCCTCTTTTATTTCGAATGTCGTAGGAGGAGACAGAGTTAGAGAGAGGGAAAAAATTCTAGGTTAAAATTAGAGGTGTCTATTGGCTGGGTTGGGTCGGGTTCGGATTGGGTCTAACCGGGTTGGGTTCAATCGGGTCGGTTTAAATTTGGATCGGGTTTAACTGGGTTGCAGGTCAATTGGGTTACGAGTCAATCAGGTCACTGGTCAATTGGGTTACGCGTGCATCAAATTACGAGTTTATTGGATTGCGATTTAATTCGGGTTCGGTCAGGTCGGATTATGGATTATTCGGGTCAACCCATTGGATCATTTACTTCTTAACAGAAAATAATATTTTACAAACTATCAATATATGTATATAAATTGTAGGTAATGATACAAAATTTAAGAAAATGATAATATGATAATATTTTACACATACAAATTAAATATCCATTATGTTAGTATAAGAACTAAATATAAATAAAATAGTGTATATAAAAGCTTTGTTGTTGGTTGTAATTTTTTTGTTTATGGTGAGAGATTGTAACTTCACTTATTTTATTAATTTATAAAAAAATTGAATCAATAAAAATTGCAGAATGAAGTAAAAAAGTTAGACTATATGCTTATACATCTCGAAATGAATCGTCTTAATTAAATATAGTATGAACTAGATATATGTCTCTTCATTTTCACGAAGACTTATGAACATCATTCCGAATCACCCACTTATATATCTTCACAATTTTTTATATATTCACGGTAACATCTCATCCTAAAACTCATGGGTCAAATAATAGTTCGCTCAAATATAATATTATCATCTAGTTCGAATCATCGATTTATTAATTTATAAAAAATAAATAAAATCAGTAGAAAGTTGAGAATGAAGTAAGAAGGGTAAACTATCCACTTATATATATCTTGATAGGGATCATTGATTTTGGAAATTTCATTGATTTTCATGTGTTAATTTTTTAATATAGTTATGGGTGGTGGAGATACGAATTTGTGTCTAACTCTTCCTATTGTCTTCAAAAATTTATTCTTTGAATTTCATAAAATAAAAAATGAATGAAAAGATATTTCACATATTATTATTTTAAAAATTAAATATTTAAGAAAAAACCTCAATTTATACCATCAATTCTACAAATAATTTTCAATTTTTATGAGAACAACATTTATTTTTTGGTAAATTTAAAAATATAATAATGTATACATTGCATTTTTGTACAAGCATTCGGGTCAAATGGGTTATTCGGGTTATTCGAGTTGGGTTCGGTTCGGTTATGGGTTATTTGGGTTATGAATCATTCGGGTTATAGATAGGTCGGGTTATGGGTTGGATCGGATAACGAGTTGATCGAGTTATGGGTTGATCGAATTATGGGTTCATTGGTTCCGGGTTACGGGCGGGCTTTGGGTGATTGTGTCAAATCGGGTTACGGACGAGTTGTGTGTCAGGTGGGTTGGGCGGGTTAGTCGGGTCGGGTTCAATTTTTACAGCTCTAGTTAAAATACCCATTAGTTTTAGAATCATCCGGCCAATCACAAACGTTAACATTTAATTAGTTAGTTGGTGCCTTTTATTTAGATTTTAAAATAATAAGAAAAACCCTATTGTCATTCCATAAACTGGTTCATGTCTACTCTTCACATTACTTCTACGGTATGGGTACTTAGAATTTACAAGTCTACTGCCACCTACATGGCCCACTTGTATTTGTTTCCAGCCCTCAAATTCTTGTTGACTCCTGCACTTAGTACACAACCACCTTTGGCCCTGAAATAATATGCACTAACAAAAATGGTGGATATAATGGCATGCATAAGAAGTTTCAATATGCACCAACAAAATTTGATTAAATAAAGGGGCAAAGGTGGTTGTGTTCTAAATGTAGGAGTCAACAAGAATTTGAGGGCTGGAAACAAATACAAGTGGGCCATGTAGGTGGCAGTAGACTTGTAAATTCTAAGTACCCATTCCCTAGAAGTAATGTGAAGAGTAGACATGAACCAGTTTGGGGGAAATAAAAGCAAAGATGGGCTCGTGGTTTCCCTTCGGATAC